CTTCCCAAATATCACCCAAACAATCCATTGATAAGACAGATCTGAGTTTATGGTTACTGAAGTATGAGGGAGCGCCTTAGGAGCCGCGGTGTGCTGAGCTAGCTCTGATCAGCTGAGAAGCTGGATCCTGAGCATTTCTTTCCAATTCCCTGTTCAGTGATGTCACCTTGGTAACTTGAAGTTAGCCAATATAGGAATATTTCTACCAAAAAAATCATCAAAGTCCACAAATCAGGGATATATTTTTCTCTTCAGGGTTCCAGATTGCTTTAGTAGCATCTTAGGTTATAGAAGCAAAGTTGGCATATTTAGGAAATGTTAAAGTTTGCATTAAGGCAAATATTTTAATGAAGAGGCTTGATTAAGATTGGGTAAGGATTATAATATACTGTAAAAGTTTAGGATTGGTAGTCAAAACAAGGAGAGGGTTTTGAAGCAAGGTTTTCTAACAATCTTGGAGAATAGTCATTTGATGCTATCTACTGAAAAGTCAGACAGTTTGATGTTAATTAAAATGAATTTTTCTCTAAGTTCCTGATATAAAATTACTTGCAACTTTTATCTTCTGAGTGAGAGTTTCCTGGAATACTAGTAATAAAGTCATGTTGGTGAAGACAGTGGAATAGTAAAGTCATGTTAATGTACACAGTAAGCTAATGGGTGTGGATGGTTTCGGTTCTCACATATAATACTTGAGCCTTCAAATTATATAAGAATTAAGGAGAGGCTTCAATGGAATTATCATACATAAAAAAGCATAAAGCTCATAGGAAATATATTCTTGAAATAATTTTCAACTTTATAAAAAGAAAGAAAAATCTGACTCCACATCCTAATGATATGTATTATCTTTTCTTTACCAAACATTTAAATAGCTTTTAATGCCCTTTCACTATTATCAAGTGATAAAGATTTAAATATATTGCACTTATATACTTTGGGAACTAACTACATCAATCATTTGCTTCTACAAGACAATAATGTAAGTGGATGACTTAGAATATTTAACATAAAAATAGAGATTTTTATGTCTTTCATCATTTCAATCATTAAGTGAATTTTTAATATCTTTCTTTTCTTAGTTGGACCTTTTATTTGGTCAGAAGTCTACAAGCATTCAGAAATGAATTAATTGTGAGAAGAAATTTTTTTTTCCAGTATGACTAGACAAAAGAGAATGTCTAAATCATAGAGTTGGAAGGAATCACTTACCTTCCCAACTCTATCCCATTTTTACCCTATTGTAAATATTTGTAATGAAGGATAAACACAATATAAAGTTTCTCTTTGTAGCATATTTTATTATTCTTAAGACATGCTGAACTCTATGTTGATCTAAAATCTATTACCTTCCTTTGTTCCCTCCTTTATTTATTCTTCCCTCTGAAAACATACGGAATAAATATATTTTCTGTTCAGTTTAACATATTGAAGACACTGCCACAATTATTGAGTTTTGAACTTGGTTGTATTTTTTTCCTGAGGTAGTCAGCCTGAGTTTATTGAACCGTTCCTCTGTTTCAGAGGTAGTCAATGTGTGGACTAGGACTGGCCCATGATTATTTCTCACCCTTTGAGAACTATATGTTATAGGTCCTCGGGGAGCTGTGCCAGAATATAAATCAACATCCTCTTGCCTTCATTGAAAAAGTCTTGCTATGGAAAAATAAAGCTAGCTGAATTAAATAGTGCTAAACAGTGTGGTTAATGATATAGTTGCTTTACATTGTGGCACAAGCTTTTTTATATTGTTGCAGATAAACAGTTGAGCTAACTCATTTGACAGCATTTGTTCTTATAACATAAGTTCTAGATCCTTTCTAATTATTCTTCTCTAGATTACAGCCAGTGCTTCCAGAGAGAGAGAGTCTGCTAAAAATATAATGGAAAACATTACTTCCTTGTATCTGGACACTATTCGTCTTAGCATCATAGCCTAATAGTTTTTAATGAGTTTTAATCAAGTACAACACCTCAGAATTATATATTTATTTTCAAATTCATGCTACTTATAGTCCATTATTGCAAAGTGGCTACCTACAAATATTCTATCCAATTTTGTATTCGTGAATGTAAGGTATGTAGTTATTGTTCTGTAAAACAAAACAACAACAAAAACCCCCCCACCAACTCAGTCACTTTAAACAATAACATTTAAAAGGAAATTCTCATGAGTCTCTGGTTCAGCAGGTCAGTTGTGGTGACTTTGGCTTGTTCCTCTGATCTTGACTGGGCGCTCAAGCATTGGCTGGGGGCTGACTGGTCTAGGACGGTCTCTGCTGAGACAACTCGGCTCTCCTCCACAGGATTTGTATCCTCCAGGTGACCAGCTGGAGCCTGTTCTCATGGCAGTGACAGGGTCCCAAGAGTGGTAGGAAGCACACAAGACCTCTGTAGGGATCAGCCTCAGCTCTGCATAGAGTAGATCAGAGAAGGGTAGAAAATGGACCTGGAAGTGGACAAGGAGAAAATAACTATCACCATGCCAATGTGTTCTTCAAAGTTCTTTATAAAAAATTTGAAAATGTCACTGACAAATATTTTCCATGGAATACCTAATGGACCTTACAGATGCATTGATCAACAGTTTAGAATATGTTACTTAAACAGCTGTGACTGTACCAATAAGAGTTTTCATCCAATCCATATTTTTCCATGCTGTTTATAAGGGTTCAAATTTGACACTTCAATTAAGAAATCATCTGTAGTTTCCTGAACATAGGAATGATTATCACTGCATTATTTATAACAACAAAATACTGGAACAAATGCAGGGCTGAATAATTTAATATGTTAATCCACATTATAAGTTATTCCATGTGGTTTTTAAATTTTAAATAATTGATGAAATGGGAAAATGCTCACAATTTAATTTTAATGACAAAGTGTTAAGATACATAGTGAAGCACAGTATAAACAAAATTACAGACATCATATTTTATACCCAATATAGAAATATTTTGAAATCATAGAAAGAAATGCAATAAAAATATACTTATTATCTTTGGATGGCAAGATTATATTGATTTTTATTTTTATCTTAACATTTTTAGATATTTTCCAGATCTTCTACAATAAACTTATACAACATCATATCAGAAAAAAATAAACATACATTTAATTTTTTTGTATTTTGTAATTTTCCTGGGAATTAAAATAAAGCTCATATTTCCCTCTACTTTGAAAATTATGCATTTGTCCATTGCCAATCTGATATTTTCTGAAAATTGTTATGAAGAGTTACAATTGGGAAGGAGAATATAGTAGCTAGAATTTAATAAGTGTTTCAAAAGCATAGTAGCAGATTTTAATAAGTATTTCAAAAGCATAGTAGTTAGATTTTAATAAGTATTTCATAAACATTTTCACCTTAAAAATATTTCCTGTAGTCACATGAATGCATGTTTTCTTTTTCTATTGAATGCCAAAAAGAAACAGAACTTTATTGTTATCTTGGAGCAATATTAAATTTCTATTCTAGAACCAATAAAAAGGAAGAGGTCTGTGGGACAGAATGGGAAAGCAGGAGGAAAATATCTCCATTGATGCTTCATTGGTTATATCACTATGTGACCGAGGGACCTATGAGATAACTATATCTATTTTGACACTGATTATTTCTTTATAGCCTTTAAATTCTTACTAACGCTGAAAATCATATGTCATGAGGTTACATTTAAGCCATCTGGAATACTTAAATGAATACATTCAGATGCTAGAATAAAGCCTCTGAAAACACAACAGGTAACTCTTTTCCTGCAAAGGATGTAGAATGTAAAGGTGAGTAAATCACCTACTAGACACAATGTCTACCAGAAGGATTGTGGTAAAGTTGGCCACAAATTCTCTGATTCTCCTCCCACTGAGAAGTGGAGTCTCTACCCCTCCTCTTAAATGTAAGTGGATTCTGTAGGGTAGAATATAGCAGAAGTGACACTGTGCCAGTTTCCAGGTTTCAGCCTTAAGTGACTGGCAGCTTCTAATTCCTGATTCTTGGAAAACTCATTCCAGGAAGCCACCTGCCAGGCTGTGAGAAGCCTAAGCCATATGGAGTATTCATACCTGTAGGCCCCAGCTGACAGCCCCAGCTGAGCTCAGCCAACTGTGAGCATCAATGCAGACATGTGAGTGAGCCTTTTTGGAAATGGGCCAGTCACATCTCCAGGTGACCCCAGCCTCAGCCACTATGACTCCAATTATATGAAAGACCCCCAGGAAGATCCATGCAGCTGAGCTCAGACAACCCCCAGAACCATGAAACATAATAAATTGCTGTTTTAAGACACTAAGTTTGGAAATGGTTTGTTGATTACTAACCAAATCTAGAACATTAGCCATTTGCTGGTATAGTACTTGAGATAAAATGTGAAAAAACAGAAAATAGATGGTGACATAAGATCTCTGTAAAACTATCTTTCAAACTGGAATGGAGACATATACTCTAATTAATCAGGGAAACCAAGAACAAATAAAAAGAAAGCTCAAGATAGCATTTCACATTTGGAGTATGTTTATGGCACTTTACAGTTGACCATAACCTTGAGGAATATGAATTATTATCATCATTATTTTTTATACTTTTCATCCCTCCCTCCCTTTCTTCCCTTTGTCTACCTCCAATTTCCAAGTTGTTTTCACTCCACTAAACCTCAGAAGGAGCCTCATTCATCTTCATATTCTCCCCATGCCATTTATAGTACATGAAATACTAAAGAATGCTGCTCAAACAGGCACCCATTTGGAGAAGTCTGGTAGGCAATCTTAAAGGTGAAAGGGTAAACCCTGGCAGGGTGTTATCCACAGAAGCCCACATTTTTTCTGCTTAATCAGAAATGATCAATACAGTTAGGAACAGTTTTTGTTGCTGTTGTTTTAGAAACAGTTTTTGTGTATTTTTTAAAGCCATGACAACAAAAATATTAGATGTGTAAACCTTTTTTATACTCATCACCAATTTTAAGACTTTTCTAGAGTGTTTTATAACTCTGTTTTGCTTCTAGGTATTCCAAAGTTGATCACATCTGATATGATTAAAGAAGGTGCTGCTGTAATTGATGTGGGTATCAACTATGTCCACGACCCAGTGACAGAAAAGATAAAATTAGTTGGAGATGTGGACTTTGAAGGTAATAAATTATATCATTCTTGATAAGTAAAGGTAAAGAAAGATTGTATTCTTCATGTTTTGATAGTAGAAAGAGAAAGTTTCTATTTGATGGCGGCAATATTATTAATCAGTGTGACTCTTTCCTCTGAGGGCAGCATGGTGAATAAGAGCGAAGTGCAGTTGGAGCTTATCAAACCGCACACTGTTGCCCTCCTAGGCTGTCATAGGCTCCCTGCATGGATGGAGCTCCCAGTCCAGTAAGCTGGCTCTCCAAGGGAACATGTGTGTCTGTCTGTGTATGTGTGTGTTATGTGTACCTGTTGATCTCTTTAGGAAATGACCTCATTTCTTTATTTCACTTTTCATGCTCAGTCACTAATGTCAGATAGCAATAATTTATTTGAATGTCTCAACTTGAAAGAATGAGAATATATTTCAAGTCTTGACCCTATTTCCTATTTTTCTTGCACTGTCATTCTGCTTCTTGATAACATTACAGTTACTCTGTGTTGATTGTAAAAATCACCACACACTTATGATGCACCAGATGGCATAGACAGCACATGATAACCAGCTTGAGGCAAGAAAAGCTGGGATGTTTTCAGTTCATAACCTTGACTGTGCTTGTGGGATAAACTTACCCAGCAGTTCACTATATCTTATAAGACCCTTCTCTTATATGATAATGTGTTGGTCTCACATCATTTCCATGCATTCTTATGATTAGCTAAGAATATTTTTTTGCTCATGAGGATATTCTGAAAATATTTTAAAGTGAGCATTTGGGGGTGAGTGCATATGCTTAGTGCACTTCAGCTGGCAAACTACTCCACTTGGTAGAATCTATTAAATTAAATTGCGGTTGTGTATCAAAGTATATAACAAAAAAAAAATCACAATGAGAAACAAGCCATGAAATGGACAGGAAAGAGCATTTGTCTGGTACTCTGAAGAGGTGCTTTTAGACCTAGTATTCTAACCCACTAACTTTGCAACCTCTCTGGGCATCGTTGTTATTATCAGTTAAATGATAGAATGGCTCCTTCTAGTCCTAATGCTTGGTATATATTGTACATTCAACTGAGTGCTACCAAATGATTGTGTAAAACCCCATAAACGTTTGTAAGGTCAGATTTTTCTGATCCTAAAAATCTCACTCTTGCTACATTGCTAGTTCATGGAGCTAGAGGCCTAAGGAAGACCTGTACTTAGTAAAGAAGACCTTGCCATGTAGGCCATGACTCAGCCACCCAGAAGAGCAGGCAAGTGGTAGGTTTTGACATGTCGTTCTTCAGGACTTAACCTGAGGTGAGGGCTGATCCCTTGGCTGAGAAGGAGGAACTTTTAACTTGGGTTGTGACACAAAACTTATAAGGTAGCATTTGGCTGCTAATTGCCACAGGGAAAGTGTGGCTGCCTTGAGAGTATTGGTGAAAGTTTCACTAGAACTATAGCCAAGATCAACAAAACGGATGTAGATAAAATCAAGTGCTGAAGGAAATTGTCCTTGCTGAAATCTTTGGCTTACTAATAAAGGAAACAGGACAACTGACGTCAAGTAGATTACTTTGATGGGAATAATTTTTTAAAGAATAATCTCATCAATGACCTATTAGAGGAATATTAAAAGTATGTAAATAATTGCAAATTTAATAATTTATAAAACCAGGAATCATTTTATCTATTTTATTTCTAAGAAAATTCAGATGCCTATTTGTAATCTTCATTATTAGATGTATTGGCCTCAGTTTGAATCACTCTCTCAAAAGAGTGATATTTTATAAAGCTTGTATTAACTATAGTTCTTGACAAAAGGAAACATAAAAATACCCTTTTTTCTTTTTTACTGTAATGTCAGGTTTGTGTTTTGGTGTAGCTATTATTTTCTCTAGAGCACATCTTTCTTCATCTATGTAGGTTTCCTGTTCTCAATTTTCCTCTGCTTCATTCTCTTCTTCCTTTTTTTATTTTTCTCCTCCTTCTGAGCCCAGAATAGAATAGAATAACCCTTTTTAGGGTAATGGCATTGTATAGTGTTCAGGACTAAAGGTGACATTGAGAGAAACAATTTTCCATCTCTCCACTACTGCTCCAACAACTCCCTACCACCTCAGTCACAGATTTGCCAATATTCTTGAAGAGGTGACAGGAAAATCTAGAAGAAAATTATATTGAGGGAAAAGAAAATATGAGAAGCTTTTCTACAAATGACCTGAGAAGATGGGGGCATTTGTATTGTTCTTCATTTAGTAATAACAGTAGCTAGTGTTTGAGATTCTTTCAATGTGCTAGGTACTGTTCTCATCCTCTTACATTAATTATTAATTTTTTATGAACCCCATAAGGTAGGTGTTGTCACTACCCCTAGTTTATAGAGGCACACAGACCCTGAGCATCATGCCTGAGATGACATAGTCATGTAGCACCATTTGTTCACAGCCAGACTCTTGCAATTTCTACCCTCTATTGCAGGAGAGGGGAAACTTTTTTCTGTCAGGGACCATTGGGATATTTCTAACATCATTCGAGGGCCATATAAAATTATCAACTTAAAAATTAGCCTGCTATACTGGTATTTGGTTAAACATTAAATTAACTCACCCCTAATGGCTTGGCAGGGCCAGGCCAAATGATTTCACGGGCCTTATATGGCCCATGGGCCGGACATTCCCCACCCCTGCTACATCTCCACTATTTTGTACTTTACATGGTTAATGCATAAAGTCACTTTTTAATTTAACCCCCAGGATATGTATATATCAAGTTTCAAATGTGCTTGGACAGTGCTTTGGTGTATAGCAATCCTCACTTTGCTTGGTTCTGGTGTGCAGAGATTTCAGTTACCATGATTTAGCTAAATAACACTAGTCTCCCAACAAAGAAGTTTGAATTTTAGTGGTATCCTATCTAATAAAGATGAAATATGCTAATTGACCCTCACACCATCACAAAGATGGTGGCGCCCACAGCCAATAATGAGGGAATATGCTAATTGACTGCCCTTCCCTCAAAGATGGCGGTGCCCACAGCCACAAGATGGCCGGCAGGAGAGGGCAGTTGTAGGCGATCAGGCCAGCAGGAGAGGGAAGTTAGGGGCAACCAGGCCTGCAGGGGAGGGCAGTTGGGGAGGACCAGGCCTGCAGGGGAGGGCAGTTGGAGGAGACCGGGCCATGGGGGGAGGGCAGTTGGGGGCAATCAAGCCATCAGGGGAGCAGTTAGGTGTCAATCAGGCTGGCAGGGGAGTGGTTAGGGGGTGATCAGGCTGGCAGGCAGAAGAAGTTAGGGGCAATCAGGCAGACAGGCAGGCGAGCAGTTGGGAGCCAGTAGTCCTGGATTGTTAGAGGGATGTCCAACTGACAGTTTGGGCCTAACTGGCAACCGGACATCCCCCGAGGGGTCCCAGATTGGAGAGGGTGCAGGCTGGGCTGAGGGACACCCCCCCAAGTGCAAAAATTTCATGCACCGGGCCTCTAGTGTTAACTATAATTGCATAAAGTGCAAACTTCACTGCTAGGTCCTCAGTCCAAAAAGTATTATGTAAATATCAAATGTGGGTTGTGACCAATCATGTCACAAGTTTCTAAGTGTGTTGGTGATTGGCTCTGGCACGTTCAGTTCATATAATAAAGTGCACAGTTCTGTTGACTCCTTGTCCCCCAGTGATAGACCTCATGACATTTTACAAACATAGATCATGGAAAGAGGGAATTACCAGGAAATAAATGAACAATGATGATACTGAAGGGGAAATTTGAAATAGCTGATCAGGAGATATTGACAATGTCTGCATTTGCCATTTGAAAGACTCTAAATATACAGCTAGAGGGATTTACTGAAGGCAAACTTATGGACATGTATAGAATGTCCCAGGACAGGTTAGGGGTGAGGCTGGGATGCCAGACAGATGGGGTAGTGACAGAGGGCAGGCCAACCACAGCTAAATTGGGCCATACTAGTTGATAGGTGGGCCACAGAGTGGGAGTCTGCTTTGAATCCAGGACCCCTGGCCTTGGGAGATTGGGCTATTGCCACTGCCATAGTCCACAAAGTCCCAGTAGTTGGGGCAGTGGTACACTAAGGCAGCCCAAGGCAAGGAGGCCTGAGTCATATTTTCAGGAACCGGAGACAAATCTACAAAAAAAGCCTTGGTTTCCATTCCAGAGCCCAGGGTTGCACAGGGCTCCCAAGACTTTGCATATCCCCTGATTCAATACTAAGGTTCTTGTGCGTATGCCTCCCTGGGTGGGGCAGGTTACCTGCTGTTAGTATACAGCCCATGGATATACCCAGAGTGGGATTGCTGGATTAAATGGTAGTTGTATTTTTAATTTTTTGTGGGACCTCCATACTGTTTTTCATAGTGGCTATACCAATTTGCAATACCTCAGACAGTGCACAAGAGTTCCCTTTTCTTGCCCTAGCTGGTTTTGCTCAGTGGATAGAGCACCAGCCTGCAGTCTGAAGGGTCCTGGGTTCGATTCTGGTCAGGGGCACATGCCCGGGTTGTGGGCTCGATCACCAGTGGAGGGCGTGCGGGAGGCAGCCGATCAATGATTCCCTCTCATCATTGATGTTTCTAGCTCTCTCTCCCTCTCCCTTCCTCTCTGAAATCAATATATATATATATATATATATATATATATATATATATATATAGAGAGAGAGAGAGAGAGAGAGAGAGAGAGAGAGAGAGTGTTCCCTTTTCTTTACATCCTGGCCAACATTTATCCTTTGTCCTTTTGATAGTGGGCATTCTAACAGGTGTGAGGTAATATCACATTGTGGTTTTGATTTGCATTTTCCTGATGATTGATGATGTTGAGCATCTTTTTATGTTCCTGTTGGCCATTTGGATGCCTTCTTTGGAAAATTCTATTTGGCTTTTTGGCCCATTTTTTAATTGGATTGTTTGGTATTTTGTTATTGACTTGTGTGAGATTTTTATATATTTTGGATATTAGCCCCTTATCCATATATGGTTTACAAACCATATTCTCCTATTCTATCAGTTGCCTTTTA